TCAAATATTGCTAATCTACTAAAGTCTGAACAGTGGTAAAAGATTCTGCTGCAGTTTAAAGTAGAAGCAATTTGTTTACAGAATGAATGCAGAATAGCTTCAAGTGAGCAGCATCTAGAAGTACTAATACAACAAGAAATTGACATCATAGAGCTGATTAAAGTTTTCTCATGTATTCAAAATTACAGTTTATTGTTTATCTATGATGATCATTAATGAGTGTTCATTCATTAATGATCAAAACACTTCTAGCTAATTGATCTTTTGCAGTTTGGCATATTGCAAAATTTGAGTACAAGTATGTTCTGAGATACTTGAATGGACTATTATAGTTTTATGATTACAGTTTTTATTGTCCTATTTTTTATGTGCTAAGTAGAAATTATGACTTAATAGTAATATACATCTCTGTGTAAGTATTTTTAAATAATACTTTAAAAAGTGTTACTGGTCTGTTAAAAAGATAAGTTTACTAGAATGGGAAGTCCACGTGCACCTACATCTGCCATGATTCATAGAAACATCAACAATCCCTTAGCTGTGTGCAGGGCATATAAGACATTCTGAATGGATAACACCTGAATGAATGAATTCCATATTTCACCAACTATGACTGAAATTAGACTGATCTATAAATCATGATAATTAATCACAGATATTAGATTAGCTGTGGCTATTCTGTCAAGAGTGGAGTTCAGTATGCATATGCTCATGATCACACTTTTACTTCAGAAAGTTCCCTTTTAGGCAATCAGAATAAGATCTGGGGCTTCAGCTTACTCACTTGCAATGTTACATGGATAAAAATAATCTTGAACTGCTTTTATATACTGGACATACTATTTTGGGATGAGGGGCAGAAGCTTGAATATAAATAAAACTTATTTTATGTAGGACTTACACTAGTGTCTGCACCACATCTGGCTCGATCGTATCATCACTTATTTCCTTTGGATGCCTTTGAGGAAGTCCCATTGGAGCAGTATATGGGGGAAAGGTATGCAAAAGATACTTGGTACCATCAGTCCAAATCCCAGGGCTTTTGTTCTTCAGATAAATGTTGTACCCTTTAATGTTTCTAGTTAAGTGCCTAACTAGCCTCTTGTATAAAACACATAACATATTCACTGCTAAGTAAATATTTGCAAATTATCTTTTTTCAGTAGATGATGAGATTTATTTTGATTCTCCGTTTATTACTGTTTCTAAGACTAATTTAGGGTTTGAGGTAGAGTTCCACTTTTTTGGTACACAAGGGAGGGCCTTTTACTGCATTCTTCCCAGGCAGTGGAACACGGTTGGTTGGAACTTGTGAATCCCTAAAGGGCTGTTCACCTTTAACAGTTAACAGTTTTTAAAGTTTTCTATATGGAAACCACTGTATTCTGTTTCTGCATTTATTTTAAATAAAGGGATTACATGGCATTATTAATAACACAATGGCAGCACCAGTCCTTTTCTAATTCTGGTAGTAAATTGGAATAAAAAGATTAATATAAGGTTAATATGGGTTTCCTAATAGAACTTTGCAAATACTTTTTTTAAAATAGGTATTGTCAGGGATGCCAGGGGGAAATCAGAGATCACCATGTAAGTATTTATTAAATTTAATTGATAAACTATTCTATATTTATTTTACGTCCGTACAAATAGGCTTTAGGAACATCTTTTTTGGGACTTCATATGTATATCACATTAGACTGTAGGCCTTAAAAGTAATTATTTTCAATCTTGGCATTGGAATAAGCCAGATTTCATTATAATGTAGTAAGATTATTGCTTATATTAAATAGAATATTATCATTTGCTTAGCAAAATTTTAAAAAGCAAATGAGATCATTGCCATCTTATTAACAATGCTATGATGTGCTGAGATGTAACTTTTAAATTTCCTTTTTTCCCTCAGGTCTATATTTGTAAAGTCTGTCATAGTGCATTTTGTGTTGAATGTGATCTTTTTGCTCATGATACCTTGCACTGCTGTCCGGGTTGCATTCACAGCCATCCTGCTCCTCCCTGCACTTGATGCCTCTAATTAAATATTATTTCTTGTACATTCCTGTGAGCTGAGAATCCTCACCAATTGTTCCACTAAACATCTTCAACAAATTAAGTTAAAGAGAAAGATAAAGAAGATGAGTCAGCTGGAGGCTTATGTAAATATGATTTTGCACACCCATTCTATGAGATACTCATGGACACACAATTCTGTATGTTACCTGTGTATGTTTTTGTTAATGTTCTTTTGGAATTTTATGGAATAATGTGCCAAATTATATCTTGAAAGTATTAAACTGGGCATGTGCAATTAAACTATGGATCTTATTTATATGTCACTTTTCTTAAATATAATTTCTGAAATTATAAAGGCTATAATCTGACACTTAATTAGAAGTACTTGATGGCAGTTGCTTTTATGAACCTGTATATTATGTCTGGACTTAGAGAACATGAAGCTTCTTTTCTGTGATAGCCCCTGTGCTTCTTAGCTCCCTTCGTCCATTCCATTAAGTGTAGGAAAAAGTTGAGATTGATTCCAGGGAACCACTGTGCCTCCATGTCAGTAGTTTTAAAGTGCTATGTATTTTGCTGTGACATTGTTTACAGTTTTAAAGATGAAAAGTTTAATAAATGCCCAACTCTTCTTTAGCTTCCAGTGGCAGAAGAGAAAACTGCCCTGAATAAGCATAGGTTCTATTTAAAGTGATGTTTCTATGCAGAATCTTATATTAGAGGTGTGATTTTTAATAGCGAGACCGGGAATTTAAATTAATTTTAAAAATTACTCTTAAATCATTCTAAGACCTGTTAACAAGATCTGTTAATATCTAGAGTAAAGGTTGACTCCCCAATAATGTCCAAAGCAACTCATGGTGACACTAAAATGATGACACACGTGTGATAATGTAATTGTTGTGTATATGTCAACTCAAGGTGGTGAACATACCTAATACTTCTGCCTCCTATTTTCCCACAATGACAATGCTGTGAGGTGACTTGGGCTGAGAGAGAGTGACTGGCCCAAAGTCACCCCACTGGCTTTCATGCCTAAAGCAGGCCTAGAACTTAGATTTCCTGGTTTCCAAGCCAGCACCTTAACCACCACACCAAACTGGCTCTCATGGAAATTATGTATTTACATATTTACATCAAATATTCGGCATTAATTGTGGCATTTACAATTACATCTCTGCACATGTGTCATAATTTGCTCCTCCTGCTGCAGACACCATTGTTGCTTTGTTTCAATCATACCTTTAGCTATAGTTTTAGGAGCAAAGCAGAAGATTATTTGCAGAAATGTGTACTCATTTTTTATTGTAATTTATCTAATCATATGTTCTGTATATAAAAAAACTTAAATGTGCTTTGTTTTATTTTCATTAGGCATATCTGAGGCAGACACACTGTTAAAATCTTGACTTTTGCTATCAGAGTACATAAATAGTACCCAGCTCCAGTGACTTAATAAAAATAAATCAATCAAGCAGGATACTATGGTTGAAGATATCAGTGGCTACTGGGAGGCCTAAAGACCAAGAGGGCACACTCCTACCCTCCAGGTCTTGATGAAGGCCATTCACCAGAATGACCAGGGCTGTTTTTGTCCCATGCCCTGGGCTGAATCCTGACTGAAAGGGATCTAGATTGGGGGTTTTCAGACAGGGTTCTGTGGAACATGGGGTTTCACAAAGACTTAAATAGGTTCCACAGGACTGAGGAGAGGAAAAAACTCTGCAAGAACTAAGGGGGAAAAAACCTCGAACACACCCGACCAGCTTCTGCTCCCACCTCAGTGCTGTTCTTCCCCTCTCACTTGCTACATCACCAACTTTCACAAGTGCTCCACACAGGAGACAACTGGCTGCTGTTTTCTCACGACATGCATGCCTACAAAACTTGACTCTCTGCCTGCCCAAACTCCAACAAACATTTCTAACAGTGTAAGAGCAATTGCATTGAGTCCTTCCCTCTGTCTTCACTTTCCACATTGCAGACAGTACAGTATTTGTGCGTATGTGTATACATGTCCCCAAAGGCCCGCTTGATTATCATCATGACATCCTGTGCTCACCTACTTAGGAGTAAGCCCTATTGAGCTGTGTGGGAATTAAACCAGATTTGCAAAGGCAGGAAGATAGGTGCTTCAGTGGCTTCAGCCCAGCATTCACAATGGAAAAAGTCCATGCTATTAACCCTCATCTATACCCCTAAGTATATGTATACATTTTTATTATGTTTTTTGATTATGCCTAATAGCTATATAATGTGAACATGTTTCCAGTTATGGATAATTGGCTACCATACTGGTACAATTGCAGATGGTACAGAAAAAGGTGAAAACAAAAGAGAAAACTAATTTCAGGGCTGCTGATATCACTGCTGCTTCTGGCACAAGTTTTCAGAAATTAAAATTAAATTTGACTGATTTCATCAACATTTCTTTATTCAGAACTTACAAATGTCTGAGTATAGCTTTTTAAAAAATATTTTAAAAATTGAAATTGCTAGTCAAACGCTGAAATTTCTTATGCTGATATTTTTGTAAGAAAACCTTTTCTCTCTATGCAGCAACAAAAAATGAACAGAAATAGGCTAAATCTAGATTATCTTGGTTTACAAATACAGGTAATCCTTGCTTAATAACCATTCATTTAGTGATTGTTTGAAGTTATGACGGTGCTGAAAAAAGTAACTTATGACCACAGTGATTCGCTTAACAACCACTGCAAAAATGTAAAATTGGGTGTGGTCATGTGATGCCTCACTTAATGACCGTCCCACTTAATGTTGAATTTTCTGGTCCCTAGTGTCCTAATTAGGCTCAGGTCCCTAATTAAGCAAGGATTACCTGTAACATCAGTTGCTCCATATAATGAACTTTTATCCAAGGAAAAGTAATTACATCCCTGTCATTGAAACTGATTTGTTTAGTTAAAACATTAACCCAAATACATCCCGATAAATAAAATTCAAGTTTTATTTTTGTATTTGGCATTAACAATAAACAGTTTACTTTTCATTTTATTGCCAATTTTCTATCATTAACACTATAACTCTTGATTGGGGTTCCAGGAATTTTTCTGTGGCCTGAAAAAGTTTGAAACCACTGATTTAGATAATCAATTTCATCTAAGAATCTCTGTAGCTTCACTCCAACCAGCAATGAAGTCATTTTTACACAAGACTTTGCTGCAGAAACTGTTTTGCCCTTGCTTTTATTTTCCACAGATACATTTCTCAATTGAGGAAGATCAGGTTTTTTTCTCACTTCCCCCTCTGTGCAAAGGAAGAGATTTCTCTTCTCCTTTTTGCTATGCAGGCTGGGAAACATTTTTTCCCCTGAAGCAGCTCATTGCAAACTGTCCTTGAATCAGGATCTGGAAACAGGTAAGTTCCAATCCTAAATTGAACTCTATTTGAGAATGAATTAGATATTTAATATGGAGTCAAAGAATATAGTGAGAATAAGAAACAGGAATCTGCATTCCTGTTTCCTCCTCACTTTTTTCTCTCTGTCCCTTTCCCTGTCTGTCTTGACTTCTTTTTGGAAGTAAAATTCTTGTTTCTGTTTGGCTTGACTGCAGTATCACATATCTATCCCAGCCTATTCTTTAGCCCCATTAAGTCTCAACTTTAATTGATCCCATGAACAGTGGGTTTCACAAGATTATTTTATTTTTATTTACATTTCAAATTTGTCACCACCCATCTCACTCATTATGCAGCTCAAACTCGAAGGGAAAGAAAAAATGCCATATTAATTTGTAGTGTTTCACGTGAATGTCAAGAGAATGATGCCTGAACTGGTAAGAACGCAAGTGTTTCTCTCAATGCTAGAATCCTGATCTTAGTATCATAGCAAGGAGCCAAAAGGTGGTAATAACGTCTGATCTGGATTAGCACTATGTTTATTCATTTTTTTTAAGCCATTCACACAAATCTAAATTGCGAGTGGCATTTCATCTATATTCACCCTAAGAAAATGTCCTATAAATTTGTTTTTGTACTGAACAAGCAACAAGAAAAAATTCTGAGTGAACACACACACAAAGAAATACATATGCACAAAATCTACTTCTGTATCAACCTAAGTTTCTTTTTAAAGAAACTGCATTAATGTTTCTTCTTTTATGGTTTTTTCTTTTTCTTTTTGCTATCCCTACACTGCTGGGACACGTTAGACCCTTCTATGCTTCTTATATAAGAAGCATAACGAGAGAAATGAGGCAGAGGAGTTTTTACATGGGTCTTTCTGATGGCTCAAAAAAGGAAAGAAGGAAGTTTAGTTCCTGTTTAGTAGGAACTGACCTCTGGTGAATGATTGACTATCCCCTGCCTAAGACTTTCTTTGTTTCGGTGGCCTGGTGGAGGACCCTGAGGGCCAGCCTCCCTCAAGTACAGGTGCATAATATCCTTGGAGGAAGCAAAATCCTGAGCAACTCCCTGGCTTTGGATGGGTTTGTAGCCTCTGCGAAATAAAGACCGATCCAGTAGTCTTACGGGTGCTTCAGAGCCATCAGGGTCTGTGGAAGTGGCTTCTGTGGGAAGGACAGCCTTGCCCAGCTATGGTTAGTTTACCAGCTGTGGCCATTTCTGGACAACACTCCAATCATCCAAATACTGGACTCCTGCAATATGCTATACATCCTTCCCTGAGGTTTGTTTGGAAATTACAGCTAGTGCAAAATATCTAGCTGGGTTACTGAAGAAAACAGTATACAGCACCATGAAGATATTAATTTGTTCTAAAGGCAATGCATTGGCTTTGCTGCCAATGAAGATCAAGGTAACAATATACCATCCAGGTTAGGGTCTGGATATCCAATCAATATTCTTGAGAGTAGCGGATCTCCTTTGGAATGCTGAATTCTTCCAAAGTGCGTGTCAGGCCATAGAGTACCCTTTCAAAAGAGGCTAAGCCTGTTTTTTAGACAGAGATTTGGTGATCTTTTGAAAGCAGGGTCTGCCCTCTCTCTGTTGCTGGTTCTCTTACAGTGAGTGCATTATAGGTTTTCTACTGCTTCTGCCAACAAAGGTTTCACATGGTTGTACTTTGTACTGTTTTTATTGCTTTGCAAGGAAGAGCACTATCCTCTTACCGGCTCTTGGGCTACTTCTGGATGTTGTTGACCACAGACACTCACTGGCAGTTCTGCTGTTTCCCTGCAGTGCTAGTCAAGGATGGAGCTTGTTCATGATTGATGGCTACCTCCTGCTTCACCCTGTCCCTTTCTTCCGTTCCTACTAGCCTACAAGTATTGAGGATAGGTGCAAGTAAGAGGGCAGGAGCTCCCCAGATGTTCCTTGGAAACCCTCCTCCATGTCTGTAATCGATCCTTTAGGCTAATTCTGAACACAGGTCTAGTGTGCTTTTGAAAAATTGCAACAGCAAAGGATGAACACAGGATGAAACAGAAGGGGAGCTCCATTAGACCTGTATTCAGAAATAGTCTCATGGGCAAACTGGAGGTATGGAGCACCTCTGCTCCTGCAGTCTGCTAGTTGGGCAACTTGACAAGTGGCTAAACCCAACATTCACTCACCCAGCCACTCCTCAGCACATATTAAGGGTGGAGACTAGTAGTTAGTTTTCCAGCTAGCAGTTGGAGGGGAAGGAAAGCCTTGGTTGTTTTCCTTATCCTGAATTAAAACTGTAAAAACAGCATTGTTTACCATCCTGGAAATAGGATCCAGCTGTTAGGGCAGCAAATTTTAGACCAGTCTAAATTTATGCCACCTCAAGGACTGGTGGATAATACTTTAATCTTGTTATCTGACTATCTCAGTTACAGTGGCGATGAGTGCACTGTTGGGAGACTTGAAAGAACAGGTTAGGGATAGATTGCATGGAGAAAATCTATCTATGTGGTTGCTGGGAGTCGAAAATGACTTGATGGCACATAATCAATCAATCAATCAATCAATCAATCAATCAATCTGGCTATGCCCTAAACATATACTAAAACCACTGATACTACTTGTGATAGCACAGCCACGTTACTTTCTCTTGACCACAGGCCAAGATGATGGCCACTGTGGTCCTTGGAGTAAACCTGAAAAACAAACACCATAATTATTACCACCCTATGCAATGAAGAATGTAAATTCAGAGCCCAGATCATTTATGGTTTCTTGACTTAGACTTTTGTTTTGTTTACTGTTTTAATAGAATGGCTACCCAAGAGACTTCTGCAGATATCAGTAACATTTCAGAGCTAGATCCCTCTTATTTTGAGGCTTTCTACCCTCAGATGAATTTCAATTTTAGCATGCTGATTGAAGAAATGGAGCTAGATTACCAGCAAATCCGCAAGCAACTACAAAGAGGGTTTAATTCTACAATGAGAAGTGAAGCCAAAAGGTTAAAAACCTTCCTCTCCCTACCTAGTAATTGTAAATCGACTTGGGCGCCCTCAGAAATGGCTGCAGCTGGCTTCTATAACACCAATGTTAAGTCTGCAATACAGTGTTTTTGCTGTGGATTAGTTTTGCTCGCAAGACATATTGAAAGGTCACCTTTTGAAGAACATAAGAAGCAGTGGTCCAGCTGCAAATTTATTTTAGGCAAAGAGGTTGGTAACATCTCTAAATATGATGTCCGAGTACAGAATCCGGAGGACAATTCTCTAGAAGTAAAAAATGAGCACAAAGAAATGGAGTCAAGACTTGAATCCTTCACCAACTGGCCATTTTATTGCAAAGAGATACAGCCTGCTTTGCTGGCTAATGCTGGATTTTTCTTTACAGGTAATCTCAAAGCATATTTATTCTGTAATTTCCAAAATATTGTCTCTGCTGGATCTCCATGCTCCAAAGAGGACATAAGACTATGAATTTTTGGTTAAGTTACAAAATTTGGCTAACAAGTTGCTAAACAATATTGCTACAATTTGCGATCCTTTAATTGTACCACATTTCCAACACTGTTTGCTATTGAGAAATATTATCATTTTTATTTTGGTTGGTGGTACTATTCCATCATACACCAAGCCACTAACCCAATCAAACCTTCTTACTGGTGTTTCTGGCAGCTCATTCACATTAACTGGGTTACCTTTTGGGCAATACAGGGTCCTCCAGGAAGTGCTGGGTATCTCATGAGCCCATGGACCAGAAGAGTTCTGGTAACTGTTCATGACAAGTATTATTACAACTTGTGGCTGATCCAGTTTCTTTCTGGGTGCAATTCAAGGTGCTGGTTATCACCTTTAAAGCCCTGCATGCCACAGACCAAGTTATTTGTAGGACTGCCTTTCCCTGAGGGTATCTGCCTGTTCTGCCATTGTCAGATAGGGGTTGGTGTGCTCCAGGTCCTTCCCCTTAAATGTTGTCATCTGGTGGGACCTAGGAAGTGTGCCTTTTCCATAATGGCCTCCATCCTATGGAATACCCTCTCCCCTGAGATCTGGCTGGCCCCCATTCCCCTAGTCTTTTGGAAGGCCTTCTAGAGCAGGCTATTCCCCCAAGCATTGAGTTAGGTGGCAAATGGAGGCCAGTAACTGTAAATTTCAATGTATGGAGGACTGTCTGTTTGGGGTCACTGTTTGGGTGTTGTTATTATTCCTTTTTATATTTTTAACTGCTGTTCTTGTGAGCCACCAGGGTTATTGTGCATAAGGTAGGCAGCCGTATAAGTCCAATAAATAAACAAACAAACAAACAAACAAACAAACAAACAAACAAACAAACAAACAAACAAACAAACAAACAAACAAACAAACAAACAAACAAACAAACAAACAAACAAACAAACAAACAAACAAACAAACAAACAAACAAACAAACAAACAAACAAACAAACAAACAAACAAACAAACAAACAAACAAACAAACAAACAAACAAACAAACAAACAAACAAACAAACAAACAAACCTTTTCCTTGGCCAAGCAGGCAGAAGTATACATGTTTTGGTCCATAGGCATCCACTAGAAGCTACAATTATGTCTATAAATTCAATATAACATTTTATATATGTATTGGTTTTTATAAACAAACGAGGATGATTAATATGGCTTTGCCTATTAATTCAATCATCTACTTGATTGGCATTCTTATTGTACTGCTTTGCCTTCCAGAAGGATAGCTTCAAAGTACCAGGGGTCAGATGAATAGCTCAGCTCTGTGTAATTGTCTTACATGCAGGCATAAAAGACACAGTTCAATGCTTTGCCTGCACTGGGTGCCTGGGAAACTGGGAAGAAGGTGATGATCCATGGAAAGAACATGCAAAATGGTTTCCTGAGTGAGTAATATACAAGACAATTCTACAGTCCCTTTATATTCCTGGTTCTGATATTGGAGATATTATGAGCTTACTGTAGTCACAGTGCTACATATTCCCAGCAGCTGACACCCCACCACCAGATCCCTTGAAGCAAATCCAAGATAGCCAAATGAACAGCAAAGCCACAGTATCTCTGGTAATCTGTGGCCACTAACTACAAGCTTGCTTGCTGACCATGTCTCCATGTTATCCTTGAAGGAAAGCACCAATCAATGTAGGGTGATAGTAATTTAGCCTCATGACAACACAATTCAATATTCATCCATCACAGGGCCATTACAGGATTCTTCTTCGGTTACTTGTTTCGAAATGCCTTCCACATGCATTCTCAGTTGCAAAAGTGTTGTTAGAATGTCTGTGTTGCTGTGTCTGTGAAACACTCTCCTTTTCGAAATGAAATTAA